CAGCGAAATTTTTTACTCGAAGCTGTGAAAGTATGGCTGTCACCGATAATTAAAAATTGTCGTAAAATTACCGTTGAAAACAAATGAAACTCGGCTGTAGGCGCATCGCTGTTTATCGAGTAAAGGAAAGTTTCCTCGGCGAAAGTTAAGTTTCTGCCGAGTTCTGCCGGTGAATGGTCGCCCCGTTCGACCATGGCCAACGCCCATTTCGATTGTTTTTTGAAATTACGAATATATACGTATATATATATATTCTTTATCGTCCTCGAACAAAATCGATGGTGGATGGAAACAACTGGGCTAGGTTACTCGAGTATATGCTGGTGCACGGTTAACTAGGCTAAGTGAAAGTGAATAAAGTGGAGATTGGTTAGAAAAACGATGCAAAAGGCAGGATAGGACTCGGGCTGATAGGCGGATACAGAGAGGTTCGTCGAAGGACGGGAAGGAAACGGAATAGAATTTTTGTGGGTTTTGAGGTCGGAGGGTTTTGCGAGTGAATCACGGCGTATTTCTAGCAGAGTCCTCGGATCCTTGTCGAAAACAAGCGTAAAAAACGAAAATTCAAGAGAGAGAGAGAGAGAAAGAGAGAGAGAGATCGGCTAAATATACGAAATTATTTCGATTAGAAATGAGCTCGATTCCGACGTGAACGTAAACGGGTTGAGTTTTCTACGTTAAAAAAAATCGGGAAAGAAAACACTCCGCGGTGGTCTGGCGAACAAGGAGAAATTATAATTAACCCGGCTACGCGATACAACAGATAAAGTAACGAAATAAAACGGCCATCTGTTTCAATTTGTTGCAATGAGTTGGTTTTATGGGCGAGCGAGTATTACTTGTATCTTCGTTGTTTTTCATCGCAATTAAGGTAATTTATGGTAAAACAAAATTTTGCAACCAATGAAATATACGTCTATCATTAGGTACACGTTATATTAACATAAACGAAAATTTCGAAATAAATTATTACAAGTTCCCGATAAGAAGGATTTATCGTGATAATAGAAATGTATTCACAGTATTGAAACATTTTATATGAAAATATTTTTCGAAATTGTGAATTTTCTAATTATATTTTTTACATTACGAAATGTAATGAAGAAATATCCAATTTTCTTTTTTTTGTAAATCATCAAATTCGAACTATATACGTGCATCGATCGAGTGGAATTGAAATATTTATTTATTTATTTATTTTCGTTTACTTCTTTCTAAGTTGGCCGTTAAAGGAGGGCAGAAGGTTTCCAGATTCTTTCATTAAGAGACGAGATTTCTCGCAGGTATACGATTACGTCGAAGAAAAAGTAATAATCGCCATTGCACTTGCGTCGTTGCACTTGAAAAAAGATCACGTTATAGGAAGAGATACACCTCGGTGAACCATATACTTTCTCCTCGAATAACTTCCTGCATCTTTGCTCGGGAAAGAGCCAGCCGTAACTCGTTCCATTTTCTCGAATTATCCTCCGATTATTATTTTCCTATATTTTTCCGAATATTTTCCCCGTTGTTTTTTTCCTTTTTTTTTTTTTTTTTTTT